AGTGCAGCAGACAAACAAAAAATAGCAGTGGTATAATTGAAAGAGGGAACTGTTCAATAGAGACAAAAGTGCAGCAGACAAACAAAAAATAGCAGTGGTAATTAAATTTGAATCAAATATTAATGTATTGATGAAAGAACTAGCTGACTGTGGGATTATTGACCCTGCTACTGTTTGAGAGGCTCTAGATATGCAGCCAGAAGAACTTAGTGAAGACAAACTTATCAACATAAATGAGGAAAGTGGTTGTAACAAAAAATATGAAGACGTTCCAGAGGAAGTGTCACCAGTAAAACACCTCATATTAAAAGAATTCTCAGTGGTATTTTACAACATTGAAAATGCAAAGGATAAAATGTTGGAAGTTGATTCAAACTTAGAAAGTAATATGACAATTTGCCAAAGCATAGAAAGGATGCTTGCTCAGTGTCTGAAGTTATGTGATAAGGAGATAGTGTGCATTACTGAAACTACTTGACAGTTTTTACAAAGAAATAAAAACACTATAATCCTCAGTATTTCTAATGTTTTAAATTACAGTGTACTAAATATATATATATATTTTACTATCTTACTAATTTCCACCATGTGTTTATACTGACAATAACAGACTTTTTAATGTCTTGACACAATTTTAAAAGTCACAGAATAATTGTAATTTTCCCCATTGATTATTCATATTTAATGGTTATTTACAGTCCCACCCTACCATTCAAAGCCACAACTGTCTGAAAAAAGAAAGGCTTATCTGCTAACATTTATTGGAGGTGCAGTTCCAGGGCAATGAGAATGAGGGCAACATTATCAGCAGCTGCCATGTGGAGACTAGAGTCACAAAGAGATAATTCTTCTGATCACTTGTAGTCTAAGGAAAAAAAAATTGAAATAAAGTTTCCGTTGCTATTTAAGTTTGAAAATGAAAGGTCTGGACAAAAAGGAAGATTTATGCAGGATGTTTGTGTCTTTTCTACTTTTAAACTCAAAGCTGTCAATGCAGAAATAAAAAGAGCAGCATCTCATAATGTGATCTCAATAGGAGAACCTTAACCCTAACCATAAAATGAACTCTAATCACACTTCCAACTTAGAAACTTCTTGAAGTGTGTAAGGACAAATTTGAGAAAACCCCAATTTGTCTTCTATTGGGGTAATAAGGGATGGACGTTGAAGCTTTTTAAAAAATGTTTTATTTATTGATTTGAGAGAGACAGAGATCAATTTGTTGTTCCACTTATTTACACATTCATTAGTTGATTCCTGTATGTGTTCTGACCAAAGATGGAACCGCAACCTTGGTATCAGAACAACATTCCAACTAACTGAGCTACCAGGTCAGGGCAAAATTGTAGCTTTTTTGAAGAAGCTAAGGGTGTTGTTGGGCCTCCTCTTTCACCATTATTTTCTGATTTCCTTGCATGGAAAAGGGAGAAAATAGTTTAGTTCCATGCAAAATTTTCACTTCCAGTTCTTTTTCTCTGTGATTCAACAACAACACAACTTTAAGATCTATAATATTTTCTTAAATGAAACATGTATTTCTGTGATTATTTAGAAGGGAGTAGATACAATAAAACCCTATAGGGACTGAGATTGGAGGAGGGTATTAAATCTCTGAAGTGTAGCAGTTTGGAAACTCAGCTTTTGTGGGCTCCAAATAACCAGAAAATCATTGCTTGAGCTCCAAACAAAAAATAAAGCCTCAAAATTGGTTCATGGGTCATTTTCCTGTTGTTGATAGATATGAGCTCAACAGCTATAGTGATGTTTCCCAAATTTCTTGAATCCTGGGGAGCAGGGCTTCCCAGCAAAGTTTTACCCCCTTTTAAAATAATATTGGAGGAAGTGTTAAGGCAAGGAATATTAATGTATTATTGTAAGACACAGAGTCAAGAGAGTTTATCTTCCATGATTTTATGTTGCTTGGACTTTATTCCAGAAGAAAAAAATATTTTCAAAACTGCCCTAAATGTGAATTGGGAAGGATGAAGCTGCCATGCCTCCATTCCAGGCCAGACATGTTAAACCTGTTTGCAGATCCTCTGAAAACAAATCCAGTTGACCCTAAAAAAAATGCATGAGTATCAGTCAATTGGTTTACTTCTCAACAATATCAGTACTTGCATAGTCTAAGTATTGCTTAATATTATCGTTAACTAGTGTCATCAGAACCAAACACATAACTGAAACACATATATAAAAACAAATTTCCTGCCTAATGCCATGTCTCTAAAGTTGTTAAATTGGTGACTACTACTATCCAGATCTTGGACACAGTTTTGTAAGCTTTTTAGTAGGGTTCTCATAGATGAAAGAAAATGAAGGTCTATTCTAGAATTTTTTTAAAAAATATTTTTTAAGATTTTATTTATTTATTTTTAGACAGAGGGGAAGGGAGGGAGAAAGAGAGAGAAACATCACTGTGTGGTTGCCTCTTGCCACCCCCCTCTGGGGACCTTGCCCACAACCCAGGCATGTGCCCTGACTGGGAATTGAACCGGCGACCTTTTGGTTTGCAGGTTGGCGTTCAATCCACTGAGCCACACAAACCAGGGGTATTCTGAAAACTTCTTTAACCAGCAAAATATTTTTCATATTTACAATTTATTTTTTAAATATTTGGTTCTTCTTAGTCTAAACTTTAATTTTTAATTTATTTATGTTTTGTTATGTACATAATCTATCAGAATACTAACACATATAATATAAACTAATATATATTATAGGTCCATTTCAAATTTTTTAAATATAAGGAGTCTGTAGTAAAAAAAACAAACAAAACACAACTGAGGACTGATGCTTTAAAGAAATTTCTATGTGGAGAATATGTGAATCACATATTTTAAAAATTGAAAAAATGGTTCATTTTTGAAATAAGAATGTTAACCAAAATTTTGATTCACATATAAGTTGTAAACACTGCTTTCTGTTGGAGTTGGATATATCATTAGAACCTTCTATTAAATCAATTAATCAACCATTAGCAAATTAACCCGCAAACCATCATTGTGGAAGTTAGTTTCCTTAAAAACTACAATCTATGAAGAGCTTAATCTCACAAGAGGTCTACTGAAAAAAATCTACTCACTTACTGAATACTAAATGAACAAATCAACTCTGCCAGAAAGTTGGATGTTTAGAGAAATATTCATTTGTTTAAAGTTATTGTATATCATGCCATGTAAACAACAAATTGAGTGAATTTATGATTTTCCTACCTATCATCTTATCATCATTGCCAAAAGACATAAATCCCACCAGAGAATTAACTCTTTATCTCTAGTAGCCCAAGCTTTATTCTTAGGCTGGAATTTAAGCATGGTCATTTTTTAAAATGTTTTATTTATTTATTTTTAGAGAGGGGAAGAGAGGGAGAGAAATGTCAGTGTGTGGGTGCATTTCATGCGCCCCCTACCAGGGACCTGGCCTGCAACCCAGGCATGTGCCCTGCACTGGGAATCAAACCAGTGACCCTTTGGTTCACAGGCCGGCACTCAATCTATACTGATCATCCCAAATAACAATTATTGTCATCACAATGTAACAAAATGTTAAAATGGGACTCCTTCTGTCTCAGTTTCTACCCAGGCCCATAGGTGCTGACTCTTCCCTCATTCCAAAGTGGGATGCCAGATCACTAAAACAGGACTTGCAAAGAATATGCATAAGAGTTAGTTTTGCAATGCACTTGTGACTTCCTGTGGCTTCTAAAATGTATGCAGAAACCAAGAAACAGGTAGTAGGTTAGAAGAGTATTTTTGAAGTGCATGGTGCGTCCCACGTAGAGGGGTATTCTTTCCTCATCTCAAGCCTAGAGACAGTGGCTCCAAGGGCACTGAACAATAGGAGAGCTTGGGGACACAATATACAAATTTCAGGCCTATACCTGGAAAATCTAAAGTAAGAGGGACTGGATGGCTAGCTGTTTTTAATGGCAGAACAAGAGGGGAGTCTGTACTAGGATGGACCTGACTCTTGTAAGAGCACAGAACATGAAGGACTTCTCATGAACCAATATGGAATGCCCAAGAGACCGAGCATGATAATGTTTCACCTCATGACCAAAAGTCCTGCTGAGGCGGTGGGGAGATGTCAGCAGAAAGAGTCGAGGTAGGCTCTTGTGTGGCAGAGGAGATGTATTTGTCTGCCATCAAGAACTGCTGGCATTTCCCAGTTGAGAGAGTCTCCAAGGGACCCTGAAAAGCACCCCCATGAGAGTATCAGACCCAAGCACCTACATCAATGCTAGATTGCTAGAACAGACCTTCCTTTGTCTTTACATGGATGAATTGATGGCAGGGAATCAGAGGAAACGGCTTATGGTCCCTCTTCTGCCTATAGGTATTAACTTGCTGTACATCTCTTAAAGTTGAAAAATCATTCTTATTATTATATATCATTTTACTGAGACTCTTTGAGGGAGTAAAGCAAGCAGAGAACTTTTTCCCTCCTCAGAATTACTACAAAAGCTCCAAGGTCCATTGTATTTGACCGGGGACAAGTAGAAAGAACAAATCTCAAAGAATAGATTTGAAGGGCATTAGGGGAAAAAAGAATGACATTGTTTTCTATTGTATGCATATTACAAATTTTGATTGTACAATCGAATGATTTCAATAATAATAGCTAAAATTTGTCAAATGCTTATTATATGCCTGATACTGTCTGATGTCTATGTAATAAATTATTACAACAAACCCTATAAGGGAGAGGTTAAGTTACCCAAAGTTGCACAACTAGTAAGTGGCAAAGCCACTCATATGGCTATTTGCAGCAAATGAGAATTCAATTTCTTTCTTCAAATTATTTTCTCTCAAAAATCAAAATACAAAATATCTAAAATGTCAACCTCAGCCTTATCAATTTTAATGCATTAGCACTTTGCAGAGACACACGAGGCTACATGTGATTTACTGTTTTGTTTTAAGAATAAAACAATGAGTCATCACAGGACGTAATTTTTTTCTTATATATACATTTTTCTTCTTCTTTTTTTTTTTTAGATGTGGACAACCACTACAAAATAAAGTACAGCTGAAGGGTCGTGACCTCCTCACTCTAAAGGACTTTACAGGAGAAGAAATTAAGTATATGCTATGGCTATCAGCAGATTTGAAATTTAGGATAAAACAAAAAGGAGAGGTATGTAGCATTTTCATCTTACCTTCCATTACTACCAATCAGCTTTTTAAAAGACAGTCTTACAAAGAAAGAGGGAAAAGAAAACATTAAAATTCCTAAACAGTAGCAAGAAATGAAACCACACAGTCAAGGTAATTGATTATCACTGAGTGTACAGGCATATAAAAAGCATAAAAATAAGTTATTCAATGACAAGTCATTGGACTTCTTTCATGTATAATGTTGAAATTCATTATTAACTGGATCGGAACTTAAAGAATCATTCTCCGGAAAGATTTTATTTCTATATCTCCTTTCTCCTCTCTGTGTGTTCTATCAAGATAAAAATAAGGATGATAAATTTTTTCTAGCCACAAATTTTAATTGTGAATGCGTATCAGATATATGATCATTAGGATAATGTCAAAAAATTTACAATGATGTGACGATGTTTTAAAAATTTAGATTAGGAAAAAAAAAACCAATTAAATGGTAACCAAGTAGGAGAAAAGATGGGATATGGTGCTTAGCTGTAATCATTATTCGGCATTTTGAGCAATTTATGTTTGCAATACACTTAATTAATGCAGTAGCTTAATTTAGACTGTTTAATTGTGAAAGCATTTTTGTATTCCAAGCTTGTTTAAAAACTTTTTTAAAAAGTTGGTTACAGGTTGAGAAATTTTTACACAACCTTGATTTTCTTATCTAGTTCATGAGCTCTTCAAGTTCCTATGAACATACTGTAAACAGAGTGACTACAACTATTACGGGATGGTATTCCTTTAGAAGACCTGAAATAAGGAGAAAGGATCCCCCCAAGATCCCAGGCCTTTGTTCTTTACATTGTGTGGGAGGATGTTTAACTGGCAGGAATCTATTTGTTCCAGAGCTCATCCTGTCAGAAAAGTCCATCTATAGAAGAGGAAGGAGAAAGAGCCCCACCTCACACTAAATTCTCCAGATTGTTTCCACATGACTTGCAGAAATAAACCTTTGCACTCCTACGAAAATGCATAATGAAAGTAGCTGACACTCTGAGGCTTCATCTTTTAGAGTCTTAGTGCCCCATGTTGTGACAGGGTAGCATGTTCCTAGCTGAGAAAACATTTCCAAACCAAGCATCTTGGGGACTTACATGGATTTAAGTAAGAAGGTGGTTCTAGTGTGAAATATTAATATACTTTGAAACAAGTGTTCAGACCGAACCCAAAGCAGCTAATAATTATATTCTAATTATATATCAATAATCTTTGGGAGTTCCTGTTCCCTTTCCCCATTGGTATAGAAAATGAAAAAAAAAAAAACACTTTAACTTCACTTTTTAAGTCACATTTTGAATACTTATTTGGAAGCAGTGATTAATTATTCTGTATTTCTGATAATGTAAAGAATAAATGTTGAAACATAATCTTTGATATTAGATATTTTTCATCTTAATTGTATTGTTGTCTTTGATTTTCAGTATTTGCCTTTGTTGCAAGGCAAGGCTTTAAGCATGATTTTTGAAAAAAGAAGTACTCGAACAAGATTGTCCACAGAAACAGGTGAGTCCACCGACAGAACCACCCTTGTGTTGAAGAGGTGGCCAGAGAGGGTAAGGACCTAGGAGGAGTAACCCAGTGTGGGCTGGGGAGTGAGGGGAATCTGTCTTTCTCTTTAGCAACCACAGAGGGGAAATACTGTCTCTGGGAGCAGGAGTGAAAGCTTCTCAATGCCCTTTCCAATTCTCAGAAGCTGAAAGCAGAAAGATTAGCCTCATCTGTAGGAATTCAATGAGGACTTGACCAGAAGTCCCAAACAGCACTTAATGTTAAGTACAAAATGTAAGTAGGCGCAAATTCTCATGTCTCAAACTCATATGGTCCAGAAATGTGTATTCTTCTGACATGTAAAGAACTTTATCTTATTTGTACCAATTTTGCTGGTTGGTGGAAACCTAATCTCTGAAATATTAGGCAATCCTCAGTCATTCCAGGGGTTTCTTTGCCAATTTAGAGTCTCCTATCCTTTACATTACAGTTGTGCCTAAGTCCTAGAGAATATATGAATGTCAAGACATCTAGGGCTATGGGTATCTGGTCATCAAAGGGTTAATGCTGGAGTCTGCTTGGATTTCTGTATCCCTATTGGACCTTGGCTCTCTCTCATTCACTATGGAGTTTACTTCACTCTGATCACAAGACCTGAAATATATCTTAGCTTGGCTCTCTCAATCTCTTGGCAGCTCTCCATGCCACACTGGGCACAGAGATACCACAAGGCTCTCTCTACTATATCGTTCCTTGCTCATGCTGGGTTCCAGGGAGTTTACATTTGTTGCCTCTTAGATCTCTGTCTTAAAAGCATGACACAGGTTCTCAGCTCTGGGGTTCCCCAAACTCTTCTAAAATTTCTATTATGATCCCCAACCTGAAGTACTTGGCCTGGGGTACAGACAGGAATTTACAGTGTCAAAGACCCACCAATTTCTATTTCTCTATTGCACCTCTTCTTCCCTTTCCATTTCCTAGTACTGGAGGCCCAGTGATAACGCAGGAGAAAAAAGCTTGCTCTGACTATCCATGTATTCTTTCAAATCTATTGTTTGTAGCTGGAATCCTAGGCTGTTAAAACAAAAATTTCTTTTTTTTCCTCAAATGGTTACCTCTGTACTAAGTTTCAAAAAGTCTGTTTTGAAAGTTATAAGCCACACATTGCTTCTTTTCTTTCTCTCTGCATTTCTGTTCTACCAAAACTTCCTTGAATAAACAATGTGACTGCCCAAATGGGCAAATGGATAGAATTGAGGAGGCAGTATCATAAACAAAAACACATTGGTCGATCTTGAAATACCTTACCCCACTTACAAGCACCTGAGCTTTCTAGGACTTAGAAGCAAACATCTGCTTCATGCCATTTTTGCCTTGTAATGATAAGTAATGGAGTTATCAAATACATAACAAAATGAAGTTCAGAAGGATTAAGTGGCCTCTTAAGTTCACTAAATTAATACAAATAGCACCAGGATTCAGATGCCAAGTTCACTGTTATTAATGCATTCCCATTGTCCCCTGAAAGAAGGAAGGAGGAAGAAGGGAAATATATAAGGTGTCACCTAATCTTTAAAGTCATAGAAAGAAAACATATGAGAATATTTTGCTCTTTAAAGGTGGCTCCTTTAAGAGATCATGTGGACATCTGCCATTAAATAAAAATAAATATTTCTAAACCAGTTAGTGATTCTCAAATCCTGTGTCCTTTCAACATGGGTCTTCCATGAATTGGGCAGAATTTTATTTCATTTCGTCATTAGTATGAGGAGTTTCTTTTTTGACAAAAGAATTAATACATAGAGAATTTCTCAATATTAAGTTTCTTAAATCTAATTCTTCTTAGTTGACGGTGTGTTTTCTACCATTTTTCTCTGTTCACATGTTATTTTTGCTATTGAATATCCCTGAATAAGTGATCAGTTTTACTGTTCACATATAATGTGGTTGTTAAGCTATTAATAAAACCAAGAGTGAATGTTTAATAAACCTTTGGGTGCAGACCCTGTGTCAAGTACTCTACATTAATTACATGGATTATCTCACTTAATCTTCATGACAAGTCTATAAGGATCAGCCTATTGAGGAAAACCAGCTGAAACAGGTTCAGCAAACAGCCCAGACACATAGCTAATAAATGGCAGATGCAGGATTGGAAGCTATTATTAAATGTATTTTGTCAGTATCTAATTTAATTTAGACATGAGATAGTCATGTTTTATTCCAGTAACATTGTTTCTAAAGATGGCATTAAGCATTTTTTGTTAAATGATAGCCATCTATAAAGAAGGGCTCTGAAACCTGCACAAAATTGCAAACTGTAACAACAAATACCTGAGAAAAGGAATAGAAGGCCATAAAAAGTTAAAGTTCACAGAGTATTCATCATTATCCTCAATAAATACCCTGGGCTCTAATTGCATATGGCATTCTGCCAAGCTCAACACTAGGCGAATCAGTCAGAATAAGTAGCTGCTTTAAATACTTACAGAAATGGTAAACCTCAACCAAGAACATGGTAGAGCTTTTCTGTTGTGTACATGTGCATCTTAATAGTTGTCTCTTAGCACCATTTTTCATCAAAACCTTTTACTTTGGTACTTAGAATTGAAGATAAGATGTAATTAAAACTGCCTATTACTGGCCCAGATTTGTGCCAACCTCTAGGATGAGGTGATCCTCACAGGACAGTCCTTGAAGATTTTATCCCAAGCCTGAGTTGCAGAGATATGCAATATTTCTGCTTATCCCAAGGGACAGAATAAAATTGCCCATCCCACTTAAGCCATATTAATTGCTTATGTTATGTTTTATTAACATGTAACATACCTATAGAAAACACAAAAATCACTAAGCATATAGCTCAATTAATTCTTACAATGAACACATCGTTGTAATTAATACCCAGATAGGAAACAGGACATTAATAGCAATCAGAGTCCTCCCTTGTATCTCCTTCCAGTTGCTACTACCTCCACCCTACGATTACCATTATCCTGGCTTCGAACGTCACAGATTAGTTTTGCCTGTTTTCGAATATTATATAAATGGAATCATTCAGCATATGCTCTTTTGTGTCTGGCTTATTTTGCTCAGCATTAGGTTTGAGAGATGTATCAATGTCACTGTGTGTAGATGTAGATCATTTATTCCTCACCCGCTCTTTGTTTATGCCTGCCTGGCAAACCGTGCAATTCTCCTGTGTGTTTACTGATGATTATATTCTTTCATTGCAAGTTAATTGAGCAGATAGGCAGATACATTTATTAATCTTTGTAAGTGCAGTAGCTGATAGAAAAATGCACAGAGCATCCTAAAAGATGATTCTTTTCACTATTTAACATTGGTATTTGACTTTCAAGGTAAAATAGAAGCTGGTGTTTTCCAGGCTGCTCAAATTCATCACCTTTACAAAGGTGGCAATATAAAAATCATGATACTATTCTTTAGGTAGGAAAGTCAAGAACAGAGAGGTTAATGACTGCCTTAGTTCTACCAGCAAGAGCCTTCAGAGCGCTCAGATTTCCAGTGCACGAATTCTTTTATACCCCTTCTTCCAAAGCTTCCAGGGGTGTGAGAAAAAGAAAGAGCAAAGGGGAATGTACTATTATTTTCCCAGACATAAATTAAGGTATTAACAGAAGAAACTCTGTTCAAAAATGACTGATGTGAATGCATAAACAAATGAAACAGATAAAAGCAGACTTCTCTGGATGAAGGGAGAAGAGAGAGTAGAAACCTGTCCCTCTGCCCTCCTCTCATCAGCAACGGCAGCTCCTGGTCTCTTCTCAAAACCTCTGACATCCTCCTAAAGCAGTTACTGCCACCCAGGTCTAATAAACTGATGAATACTTGACTTGTGCTTTTGGAATAAGGTCTGAGGCTTCTTTTGGATCAGAGACCAAACTGCAGAGGGGAATTCCTTTTTAGAGGCTGAAGGCTTTGACTCCTACTTCTTAACACTTTCTGTAACTCATCTTCCTCCCCGACCTCATAAGTCCAGGCTTGATGAGCATCTTTATAGCACACACAGGAAAGTGAAAAAGTAACGATCTAATCCTGGGTTTTTGCAGCAAGATGACCTTTAGTGAGAGTAAGACTGTGACTTGGAGTAGACTTGCCAGGAGGTCTTAAACTGTGTGTGAAACATTCTTCCATAGTCTCCGACCCTCCATGACATTTACCCCTGTGCTAGACACATGGTAGGTAAACAATAAATACTTTCTTGATGAATTTCCAGTACTCATATTTATTTAGGTGACTTTCCCTGTTTATAAACAGATGAAGTACTCAGGAAGAAAGATTAGTGATTATAATCATCACTAAATCCCATTAGCTCACTTCACACATAACCGAACATTCTGTTCTTTCTGTTAACAAAATTAAATGTTTGCAATTGAAAAAAATGGGCTCTCTCTCTGGAGTCAAAATCCCTCCTAAATTCATTCAACAAGTGTTTGTCGAGCACTTACTATGTGCCAGTATTTATTCTACATTCTTGAGAGTGATGCATCAATGGAAATCCCTGCCTCCACGGCGCCAGTTCATAATAATTGTATTACCTACTTTAGTGCTTTATTTCAAAATGCTTTTTGTTTTCTCTTTATTTTATTATAGGCTTTGCACTTCTGGGAGGTCACCCTTGTTTTCTTACGACCCAAGATATTCACTTGGGTGTGAATGAAAGTCTCACGGACACAGCCCGGTTTGTAAACCTTCTTCTCTTCAAAGTTCATTTCAAAATTGATGGATACATCTCAATAACAAAATATGCTTTTCTTTTAATAATGTTTTTTCCCCCTCTTAGTATCTGATGTGCTATTGTCTGTTTTCCTTCTTTTCCTCTTTACTTGATGTTCTGGAATAACTGTACCTCATCTTCTGGCCACTTTCTGTGAGTTAAGATAACTTTTTTCTTAACAGTTTGAAGAGGTTTCTTATTATAAAACTTCAAATTTAGGGAAACTTAGGGATCATCAGGCATGACTGTTACATTTTACAATCGAAATAGAGGTCCAGGGAAATTGACATATTCAATGCCTCATACATAACTAGTTAGCCTTAAAGCAGGTAATAATATTAATAGCCAACATTTATTGAGCATTTATTATATGTCAGTATTGTTCTAACTCATTTAATCCTGATAACAACCCAAAGAGGTTGGCATAAAGAGGTGAAACAACTTAATTAGGGACATACTAGCTACTATCATACAAAATCTCAAAATGTCAATGACTTAACATAGTGCAGATGTTCCTGATTGGTAAGAGGGAAGAGTTGATTATTTATGTGGCCACTGAGAGACTCTGGATGAGAATGGCTCTACAGTCTTGAACTTGTGGCCTCTAAGGTCACCCTCGGTGTCAACATCCAGTCAGGAGCTAGGGGAAGAGAGCATTGAGTGAGGATACTTGCTTCAAAGTCACCTTAGCAGGGACACGATCACTTCCACTCACATTCTACTGGCAAGTTCTAGTAACTCTCACCCCTACCCAGATGAAAGTAGAGGTGGGAAAAGGCTCCTATCAACTATATTATAGTTAAAGTTTGAAACATGGGTCCGCTGATTCCTCATGCAATACTTTCACAATTATGTCATGTCTGGTTGAGAAATACAGAGCAAATGTCTCTGTTTAGATATTTTACCCTTGATATGGAAGACTAATGATTTTTTTTTTCTGAAAATGATGTGCCATAAAGCAACTCCTTGCAGACACTCTCTGCTTTTTTATGGCAGCTACCCTAGTATACACTAAAGAAACCGCTTCATTTGAGTGGTTGAAGAGATTTGAAATAACTCAACTTTAAATCTTTTCATTACATTATTTCAGATGAGACAATGTTAGTATTAAGAAGTGTTGGACAAAAAGAGTAAATAAGCATAAATGAGTTTTTCTTCCATATATGCTGCCACTGACTAGAATTATATTTGACTGGTAATTCTCCTTTCACAAAAATGAAGTATACTTTATTCAAGAGCAAATATCACAAGCCAGTTAAGAGATGAAGCCAGCGATTCAGCCAAGGTAGAGTTTCAGTGGGGATTCTCCATATAGGGCCAAATGAATGATGGTGAATGAGTCTTTGTGAGCCAGTGGTTGGAAAAGGGTACAGTGGGAGGAACAGCCGAGCATTCAGTAAATAGTTAAGAGTGCAGCTTGGCGGCCAGAAAGGGGTCAGGGCTCAGAAATCAGTGGAGTGGGCAGGAGTTCAAAAGCAAGAGACAGGTAGCCAAGCATGGATTGAAAGCTAAGGATGAGTATAAACATGTTCTTTTTGTGCTTGCTCTCCACACAATCCCCACTGCAAGTCATTAATTTGAGGAGCTCTACGCAGATCCTGAGAAAAACAATCTGCTCACAGGTTCCAACATGATTGGGACTTTGTAGTCCACATACATAATTACATCCATTGCTTCATGAATATATGGATACATGAAATTTGATCCATATAATTCCTTCTGATCATTCCATCTAATCCAAAAGACTGAATGAAAACAATTGTTCCCTCTTAAAAGGTATATACTATGAATCTCTTGTATTATTACCTCCAAATCTTTTTAAAAACCATACAAAGTGAGTATTATTGGCCCAATTCTATAGACAATGAAACCATGACTCAGTCTTAGCAGCTAAGTCAGCATTTAAATCACGCTGGTTTTTTTTAGGCTATGCTGTTTTGACTACTCCTACTGCCTCTTAAAACATCCCATGAGAGAGTCAATAAAATATGTTATGGAAATCATTGTTTTCTGTGTCATGAGGTCCCCAAGACCACCCCCGTATTTGATGACTCACCGGTAGGATTCACAGGACTCACCATATAGTCATACTCATGGTTATGGTTTCTTACAGTGAGAGTATACCAATCACAAGCAATGAAGGGAAAGGACAGGTAGCAAAGTCCAAGGGAAACCAGATGCAAGCTTCCAAGTGTCTTCTCCCAGTGGAGTCACTCAGAACATGCTTAATTCCCTCAATAACAAGTTGTCACAACATGTGCGAAATGTTGCCAACCAGGGAAGCTCCTTAGAGACTCAGTGCCCAGGGTTTTTACTGGGGGATGGTCACATAGCATCCTCTGTTTGACATGTACCCAAATCCCAGACTCCCAGAAGGAAAGCAGGTGTTTGCTTTAAACCATATTGTTTGTAAAAGCATTTTAGGCGCAGCTCTTATCAGTACTGAGAATGGTGGAAACCCTGTGCAAATCAAAGTTCCCAGATGCCATCTAGGGGCATCTTACAAGCAGGGCTTTCAAAGGACAGCAGTCAGGCCTGCTATGTTAACTCTTTTCTGCATTGCTTGAAAATCACAAAATGAGATCTAATCCAACCTTCGCCACCTACCTACTCTGTAACTTCCATAAGTGAAAATTTCTCTGGATCTTAATTACCTTTTCTAAAATGTGAGGGAGTTCTGATCCTTAAGGTTAACTTTATACTCTCAATTTATGCAAATGTATTAGATATATTTTCATGCAAATGTATTAGATACAAAAGTGTGGTCTTTAAACAGATGTGTGCCCTAATGTAAACCATGTGTAGACAGTTGCAGAGTAGTTTGGATTGGGGTAGACATAGGAGGTAGAGAGAACATTTCTAATTCTGCAAGTTAGGATTCAGATGGTGTGTGGGCATCTATATCAAATGATTCTGCTGCAAGGGTGGCTGGACCACACTTTGAGAGACTCTGAACTGGGAGGATGTATTGTAATCCTGGGATTCTTGTGCTGTCAATCTATGCTAGTGCATTAGTGAAGGGGATGGTAAAGAAGAGACAGGTAATAAGCTATTTATATTGTTTTATGATAACTGATTATGAAGGGTACATTGATAGTGCAAAGAAAATGATTTAAGATCAGTTATTATTAAAATATGTATGTATATATTAGAAGAAAGAAAATAAAGGAAGTTTTTGCTTTGGGGAGAAGGTGATAGATTAGGTATTGGACATATTTCATTAAGAGTTGAACCCCCAAATACAAATAATTGGCCACAGATCATTGGAGATAAAGACTGGGTGAAGTTGAGAGCTGGAGAAATAGAAATATGAGCTCAGTGGTAGAAAATGAGCTGCAGAGTTTCACTGTGGGAGAATTGCAGAAGGCTGAACCTGGGCAGGTGTAATTAAAGAAAGGCAGGAGAAAATTTTCAGGATACAAGGAGAATAAGGCTCATGCAATATCAGATGAGGCTGCAATGGGAGGTGGGACTGTCAAAAAAGGGGGTAGAGTAGCCATTGTGGAAATCTGACTTTCTTTTGTGTATCCCATTACTACTTAAACTGCCAAAATATCTGACAAACAAGATATGGCTGAGATCCCAAAATTCAGTAAATCTAAATTCAAGAAGACAAGAGAAAGGGCGGAAGTGAATCTTAATGGCATCTATTCTGTCAATATGCACTGTGTAATCCATAGCAATCGCCTTCTTGCTTTTTGTGGAAGTTAAACTTTGTAAGATGCAAAGAGATGGGATGATGTTTAAATAACAGTGCTCTGCCTTTCAAATAAAGAGAAGAGTGCACACCTGGCAATGATTGACGGTGTTGCTTCTCCGACTTCCTGTATGGCTGTTTTGGAGGCCTGGTGGAATATAAAAGTGACAGCCCACTGGTGAAAGAAGAGCCTGGTGGGGCCAGGGCGCAGAATACAGTGCATGTGGTGACAGGAAAAAAAGGCAAAATTGGGCTAGTCTCCTGAAGGCTATTAAGTGCAATTTCCAAAGTGTCTCACTCATTTAGTCAAATGATTTAATTATTCATTTATTCAAAAATATTTATTAAATGCCTAGTTTTTCTTCCCAGCATTGTTTTAGCACTGAGAATAAAATGCTGATCAAAATAAACAAAAGCTTTGTTTGAGTAGAAATTATATTGTAGAGGGAGGAGATTTTCACCAAACAAATAAATGAAGTATGACTAGAGTTGTAGGTTGAAATAAGTGCTATGATGAAGCTAAAGCAAGATGCTCAAGCAAGGTGCTCTGTGGGAGGGGTGAGGACTACTTTAAATTGGGTGATCAGGGAAGGCCTCTCTGAGGAGGTGACAGTTATGTTGAGAACTCACAGAAAAGACATAGCCAGGTATGCAAAGCTGTGGGAAGAGCATTGTGGACAGAAAAAAACTGCTGGTGTAAAAGGTTAAGGCAAGCTTGATGTATTCAGGAACAGAAGGACAGCTAGCAATGTTTTAAAGTCTGCAAATAAACATATTTTAAATCCACAGATAAAAAAAAATACCCTTACAAACACCAAAAGAAGGAAACAAAATCAAATCAAGGAATAAAAAACTTAAATACACATTCAAAATAGAATGTGTTGCTTTTTCCTTTCTTGATTACAATAATAAAACCTGTTCACTCTTCAAAATCTTTCATATGATCTGAGGGTGCTAGTGGAGGGAGAAGGGGCACTGAGACGAAGCTGTGAACTGCTGTTGTGAAGAAGCTAGTCTGTCAGGGCTCCCCAAGACCATCCCCAGGTTTGATGATTCATTAAGACTCACAGGACTCAGCATATGGTCCTATTCATGGCTAAGATTCATACAAAACAAGGAGTACAAAGCAAACTCAGCAAAGGAAAAAGGCACATGGGGCCAAGTCCAGGGGAGATGAAGCACAAAAATCCTCTCCAAGTGGAGACACACAGGATATTCTTAAAACCTCCAGCAATGAGTTGTGGCAACATATGTGAAACATTGTTTA